ACAGAAAGACTCCATATTTTCTCATCAATTCTGATTATCGTTACAAGTATTAAAAAATTTATTCTGTTTTCTATGTAAAGCAGGGTAGCATGCTTTCATTTTGCTTTGGTGGTAGTCACCACTCACCAAGCCAAATGGGCCATTCCATTTAATAGCCCCCCTATTGAGGTCTGGATATCCTATATGGGGATTTTAGAGAGGGGGTTTTTACCTTAAATTTTTCTGGGGGGTAGCTTAAGAGATTTCCTAAAAATTAGGTGTTTTAGTGATATCCAAAGGGGCAGGAACAATATCCTAAAGGGGTAGAAAGACATCCATGGGGGTTCCAAAATTGCATCCAATGGGGTTCCAAATTTTTTAAGGTATTATGAAGAGACACCTCAATAGGGTGTGGGGGGAGGGCTATATTAGATGGAATGGCCCAGTGTGCTGCAACAACTTTTAAAATTTGTATATATGTTTTTAAGGCACAATATGTGATGGAGTTTGATATGATGATCAGCACAACCTGAAGGTCTTGACTGAATGAACAACTTATCTGATATACTCCTAGTTCAAATATTTTGCTGTATATTATCACCAGCTCAGATGTCAGTTGGATCACTTTGAATGAAGAACATTGGAGTGGCACAATGAAGTGTCTGTATTAGGGAGGAGTCTATAAGGACTGAAGTGAAAGGCAGACTTTTGGATATTAATTTGAATCATAGCAACTACATATACTGTATGTTTCAAATAAGTTTGAACAATGAACAACTGAAAATAGAAATTTATCTAATTTGAAACACTTAAAGGAATTACAACATATTATATGATAGTCATATGTACATGATTATAGGAATATTCATTAGTTTTACTAGCTGATATTTATCACCATCCTGGGACAACATTTTATTTTTCCAAAGAGATTTTACTTGCATGATAGTAATAAGTTTAATAGTAACAGAGAAGTGTGATGGATATGTGCAAGTAATTATCATTAGAAATACAAATAATAAACTGTAATTTTGACCATTGTAAATGTATTATTAAAGAAACAAAATACAAAAGTCAAACAAGGCTATTTAACATAATACAGTCATAATACTAGACTGGTTAAAGAACTACTGAATAGAGGGATCATAAAAATCTTCTAAGATTACTTCCATAGCTCTGTAGCAAGGAAAGGTATGGTGAGTTTCTTCACCTTGATGAACAAAATTATATAGCATTAGAAAACTATAATGCCATCAACTCATTCCCATTTAAAAATTTTCATGTTGGTTACTGTGAAATAATCTTGAGACCATCTTTATAGTAATTAGTGATTGTTTACTATCTGATTCAGTGATGACAGGATTATATATATTTCCATGGAATTCAAGTTGGTTTTTTCCCAAGTTCATATAAAATATGGTTCACCTGTTAAAATAATAAAATGTTTATTAGTTGTTTTGTAACAGAACAGTACCTGCTAAAATATAGGAGAAAGAAAGTCGAAATAACAGTTGTACTGTATATGGAAAACACTTCAAAACAGAATAAAATCTTTCTAAGCATTTCTACTGTTATCATAATTTGATTAACTGATGAGATAATATGAAGTTTTTCTGTATGTTAAAAACTGTGATTTCTGAAGAAGTCTTTCTGTATGTGTGAAACTGTGTTTAATAGAAAATGTGATTTCCGACACTCTGAGAAAATGTAAAAGCAACGTGTGAAAATAAATCGAATAAATTCAGTATATATGTACAGTACGTACCTTGACATACAGAACAAACAGTCAATATCACTGTCATATTCCAGGCAACACTATCAGTTTTTATTCAGTCGCATTTGAAGCCGAACAGCATCTGATATATACGAGGGTTGCCAAAGCGAACCGCAAAACAATCTCACAAATATGAGCGCCATACTCCGACAAATTGATACAATATGATGATGAATGTTGCATAGTTTTTTGTACATGTGTGTTTACAGCTTATATCTGAAGAATTTTTCTTAAAATTTGTTAAAACTTTAAGAATAAATACATAAAGAATCAACAAAACCTATGACAAAACATGTATATTTCCAAGCAAGAAAACCGTAAGCGCCAGCGCTAAATTGTAGTCAGCAACATAACGTTGCCGTTACTGCGCATGCGATAAATCTCCAAGAATCTTGGAGATTTCATCGTATTTTACCAGGGTCTTCCTCAGCTCACGCGCCACCACGAGGAAGACCCTGGGGACGAGGTTGGAAAATATTCGCCTCCCCCTGTCAAGGAATTTTCGCGAAGATTGCGCGTGACTTTCAAATGATTTGTTTTTATTCCTATCCTGAATTTGTTGTGGGAGGTTTTTTCCTTCAAAGTGCAAGTAATTTTTTCAATTTTTCTTGTAAGACTATTCTGTAATGAAGTACTCTTGGATACTGTAATCTAAATACATATGAAGACGAAGAAGTGGCATTTATCGGGCAGAGAATCGGCGAGCCATTAAAATGGCGGCATATGGACGAAATATCGAAGGACACAATATCGAAGATAAAATACACTGCACTGCTCCAAAACTTGCCGAAATTAAACGTGGTTGAAATCTCCTTTAGCCATTTGCCATTATGTAAAAGTACAACAACTGGATGTTATTTGCGAGACACGGCGATATAAAGCAAACAAGACGGCAAAACATGGCTGAAATCGTGTTTTCGTGGGGGGTAAGTGAAATAAAATATATTATATTTAATGAAAATAATGACAATCCTTATGAAAACTACAATAATTATATTAAATTAAGCATAGTTTTTCATCCCATGGTAATTTTTTTTAGGAAATAAGGATATTCAATTTCTGCCATGTATATTAGTTATTTTCTGCATAATCAGCAATTTACCTGGGGTGATGAATGGTCATTTTCTTGTAAAATATTATACTTACACAAATTTTTCCTTCCAATAACCACCCCTAAAAGCAACCCTTCTAAACACTATAAGCACTTCAGAAAGGCTGTCGCTTTTGCTTTTCGGAAGTTAGAGCTATGTCGGCACTGCCGTTTCAGGGCGGGGTCATTTTCAGGACTTTCGTCCCGGATTCAGGTTTTGGCACATATGCCATGTTGACCGCCATGGTCACTTTACCCTAAAACAGTTGAGATTACCTGTGGTAAATGAAACGCATACAAACTCATATACAGGTCCTAGACTATTGTTGTTTTGAAGCCGTTAAGAACATTCGTGGGGGGAAACGAATTCCTCTGCCTCTGATTGGCTAGTTGACGATTCTTGTGAGAATTGCAAATTTCATCAATAAATTTAATAAAGTTAACTGTTGTTTCACTGTAGTTATTTTATAAAATAATTACCAAATGGTTTTATCATGCAGGATAGCATATCCATGCACTTGGGATGTTGCTCGACTTTCGGAAAGCGTAAAAATACACTCGCCTTCGGCTCGAGTATTTTTACGCTTTCCAAAAGTCTCGCAACATCCCTCGTGCATGGATCACGCAATCCTGCACGGAAAACCATTCGGTATTCCTTTAATACATATTTCCCTTCACACTATTTAGATTACCTATAACCAATTCCAGCCGGCTAAAAAGTTGGATAACAGCAATGAAATGGGCAGACTGGATGATTCATTAAGAAACATAGCGAACCAAAATGGTGTTAGATATTCAGACAGTACATCATATTTTTTAAAATACAGCAGTTTAAAATGTAAACACAAACGTTTGTTTACATACGGACTTGACTTCCACTTTAAAGTTTGAGTGACGAGTATGTCCTCCGTCCTCCGAAGTTTTTACTCTTGTGCAATCGAGTGAGATCATAAATTGATTATCGCGTATAATGTATTATGTCTATTATGACTATTATAAAATAGATCGAAATAAACAAAGCGAAATCACAGTTCACGAAACAGACATCCTTAATTCTCATTTCACGGAGCATTTTTATTGACAAACACGCCTCAAGGCTGTAGAACAAATCACATTTCACGACACTAAAATCAAGCATTTCACGCGAACAAATATTGACCACTCACATCTCACGAAAATACCCTTTCCCACCCTCTTATGTGGATGATATATTGTGTCAAAGTACCAAATGGAGCGACCACCTTACCCACCTCGAACATGTTTTGAAGCGATGTGATAAAGTAGGTGTTTCGCTTAACCCTTCAAAGTGCAGTTTTGCTAGTCATAGCCAGGAATTTCTCGGCCATGTAATCTCCAGAGACGGTCGTGCGCCAGATAAAGATAAAATACAAGCTGTTGCGTCTTTCCCTCGACCAACTTGTATATCAGAAGTTCAAAAGTTTCTTGGACTTGCCGGATATTATCGTGAACACATACCACATTTCGCAACGTCCTCTTTTAACCTCCGAAAACTACTCAAGAGTCGAAGTGTTTTCCATTGGGGAGATCAAGAACAGAAGGAATTTGATTCCTTAAAACAGGCCTTATGTTTGGACAAGGTTCTTCTTCATCCCCCGAATATAAACCCCCGAATATAAGCCCCCCCCCCCCGAATATAAGCCCACCACATATACTAACGCTCACCTCATTCCAAATACAAGCCCACCCAAATATAAGCCCCCCAAATATAAGTCCCCCGAATATAAGCCCAGTAGCCCACTACGTTATTCAACATTGACATTGTCTTTTAATATAGCAGAGAACGATATTTAAAAACATTGTCATTATAGCAGACTATGTGAATCAAAGCGCGTTATTAATACATGTTTATTTTCCTGTTTATGACTGACTTGTTTATGTCTGACTTGTTTATTACTAACACAAAATATCGTCCATGTATTAGCCCCCCCCCGTATATAAGCCCCCCTTGTATAAGCCCATCAAAAATCGCTTACAAAAGTATATAAGCCCAGGGCTTATAGTCGGAGGTACAAAGTTTGCACGAGAATGAGATCTTTGGATATACGCAAGTGCATTTGTACACAATACATGTGTCATCACTTGCAGAGACGGACTTACTCCTTTCTTTCTTTCTTTCTTATATTTGGACGAGAACCGGTTATGCCGACTGACGTAATGTTATCTCCAGTTGTTGTGATACCACAAGACCAGAACACTTATGCCAAAGAGTTGCTCGTGAAACTCTCTAAAGCTCGTGAATATACGGCTGCTATCACGAAAGAACTTCGACACAAGCAGAAAGAGTACTACGATTTAGGCCGAAAAACAACGCACTTCCTAGTTGGTGACCTTGTTGTAGTTCGTCGGACTCAGCGCAGCGGTCAAACAGGAATTGCAGCCAAATGGCTACCCCGATGGACTGGCCCGTATCGCATTGTAGAACAAATGCCAAATGGTGACAATTATCGATTGGAACACGTTGAAGCTGCGAAAATACTCGACCCAACCAAAGTGGACAAATTGATCAAAGTTGAACCCTGGTCAGTCAACGAATCTAACCCCGGACAAACCAATCCAAACAAAGAGGACACCCCGCCCGAAATCTCACAATCCCACCGCAACCCGCAGTCTGAAAATGGTTCGTTTATTATCTACGAAAAGCTTGGAGACTTTTTTGATGACGACATAAGAGCCATGATCGAAGAGCTGCATGCTTGGTTAAAATCACAAAAGGACCATAAGTGGTCAACCGGAGAAGCGTGCAAGTACCTTTACACAAAAAATCCCGAGTTCAAAAAGACTTTTCAAAGCATTGGTGGAATTTGTCAGTTGCTGATTCATACACCATCGATACAGTTTGGGATGCCTGCGCAACCGGTGGAAAAAACTCTCTGAAGCTGTAATTGGATGCCAGTCAACCAGTGAAATACCATTTAGACCGTCTAGGAGGACGCTGTGGTATAGGAAGAATCGTCGGCTACTACGAAGACGAAGACATGTACAACATACAACTTTGGGATAGAAAATCGAAGAAGACAAAGTGGAACAAAGCCCTGAGACCAGTCAAAGTAGAAGACGAACCTGCTACTGAACTTGTACAGTCAAATAGTGTGTTATGTCCTATTGAGTTAGACGATAAGCATAAGATTGGACAGAACGCTCAAAAAGCAACTTGAAGATCTACAGTTACTTTGTGTTTGTTATAAGAACAAGTGTCTTCCTTTTTAGCTAAATACGTTTATATTACCAAATATATGTTCTCTTTTTTAAAAAAGGAATGGAATGTAGTAGGATTTTAGGGAAGCACAACCTGCGAACAGGTAGAGACGCAGCACATGGACTCAATGGCCGCTAGTTAAAGGATAATTTCGTCGAAGAAAACTATATCATTTCGTTTATTGTTCATGTGTTATTTATATTGTTGTTGATATTAGTAGAGTGTACGTTTATACACTCTGACTACTACAAGGGGCGGCGGAACAGTGGGTTGGGGGGGGGGGTTAAGCTCACTGAAAACGATCAGAGTAAAGGCCGAAAGACACCGGAGGCGTTTCGATAAAGCAGAGCTATTTTTTATTTTTCGAAAGTTCATAAAACAATCAATCAAGAAAATTTAAAAAGATACTACGAAAACCACCCATGTGTGGTCTCCTTGCTTAAAAATATATCACTAGTCTAGGACCTGTATATGAGTTTGTATGCATTTCATTTAGCACAGGTAATCTCAACTGTTTTAGGGTAAAATGACCATGGCGGTCAACATGGCGTATGTGCCAAAAGCTGAATCCGGGACGAAAGTCCTGAAAATGACCCCGCCCTGAAACGGCAGTGTCGACATAGCTCTAACTTCAGAAAACAAAAAGCGATAGTCTTTCTGAAGTGCTTATAGTGTTTGGAAGGGTTGTTTTTAGGGGTGGTCATTGGAAGAAAAATTTGTCCAAGTATAATATTTTACAAGAAAATGACCATGCACCACCCCAGGTAAATTGCTGATTATGCATAAAATAACTAATATGCCTGGCAGAAATTAAATATTCTTATTTCCTAAAAAAAAATATCATGGGGTTAAAAACTATGCTTAATTTAATGTAAATATTGTTGATTTCATAAGGATTGTCATTGTTTTCTTTAAATATAATAAATTTTATTTCACTTACCCCCCACGAAAACGCGATTTCAGCCATATTTTGCCGTCTTGTTTCCTTTTTATCGCCGAATCACGCAAATATCATCCAGTTATTGTACTTTTACATAATCATAAATGGCTGAAGAAGATTTCAAAGAAGGTTTCACCACTTTTGAAACAGTGCAGTGTATTTTACCTTCGATATTGTGCCCTTCGATATTCCGCCAAATTGCCGCCATTTTAATGGCTCGCCGCTTCTCTGTCTGATAAATGCAACTTCTTCGTTTCCATATGTATTTAGATTACAGTATCCAAGAGTACTTCATTGTAGAATAGTCCCAATCCAAAAATTGGAAGTATTATTTGTACTTGGGAGGAAAAAACCTCCCAGTACAATTGTCCTGTTAGAATTCAAAAGAAATAATTTAAAAGTCACGCGCAAGTTCGCGAAAACACCTCGTGGGTTACACAACAGGGGGGGGTGAATATTTTCACGAAACGTTTGTTCGCCACCACAGGCCACAGCAACCTAAGTTAGGTCATAGGCGTACCGGGCGGGGGGGCGGGGGGGGCGGGGGGGGGGGCGGTAGCCCCCCCAGTTTTTTGGGCAGTCGGGCAATATTCGATTAACAGTCGGGCAATTTTGGGTTGTTTAAAAAAAATCGGACCAATTCTGTCAATTTTTTCGAAAATTTAGTAAATTTTGTGGTTTTTTTGAAAATTTATGTGATGCTCCGAAAAATTTTGGTATGTCCGGAAAATTTTTTTGACCCCTTAAATGGTACACTGACCGAAATTATTTTGGCGACGGGGGGGGTGGAGGTCGCCAAAATAAATTTTCCGGGAAAAATTTTTTTGTACTAGTCGGGCAAAATCACGAAAAGTCGGGCAATTTTACGAAAAGTCGGGCAATTTTCTTTCCGCCCCCCTAATTTTTTCCTTCCGGTACGCCCATGAGTTAGGTACATTATATTTATTGTATATTTGTGATTTTTGATAAAAACAATAAATATTTGTGTATATTTATCATCAATTATAAAAATACAAAAAATATAATACATTTAGTTAGGTTGCTGTGGTGGCGAACAAACGTTTCGTGAAAATATTCACACCCCCCCCCTGTTATGTAACCCACGAGGTGTTTTCGCGAACTTGCGCGTGACTTTTAAATTATTTCTTTTGAATTCTAACAGGACAATTGTACTGGGAGGTTTTTTCCTCCCAAGTACAAATAATATTTCCAATTTTTGGATTGGGACTATTCTACAATGAAGTACTCTTGGATAATGTAATCTAAATACATATGAAAACGAAGAAGTGGCATTTATCGGGCAGAGAAGCGGCGAGCCATTAAAATGGCGGCAATTTGACGAGATATCGAAGGACACATTATCGAAGATAAAATACACTGCACTGTTTCAAAAGTGGATGAAACCTTCTTTGAAATCTTCTTCAGCCATTTATGATTATGTAAAAGTACAATAACTGGATGATATTTGCGTGATTCGGCGATAAAAAGGAAACAAGACGGCAAAATATGGCTGAAATCGCGTTTTCGTGGGGGGTAAGTTAAATAAAATGTATTATATTTAAAGAAAACAATGACAATCCTTATGAAATCAACAATATTTATATTAAATTAAGCATAGCTTTTAACCCCATGATAATTTTTTTTAGGAAATAAGAATATTTAATTTCTGCCAGGCATATTAGTTATTTTATGCATAATCAGCAATTTACCTGGGGTGGTGCATGGTCATTTTCTTGTAAAATATTATACTTGGACAAATTGTTCTTCCAATGACTACCCCTAAAAGCAACCCTTCTAAACACTATAAGCACTTCAGAAAGACTATCGCTTTTTGTTTTCTGAAGTTAGAGCTATGTCGACACTGCCGTTTCAGGGCGGGGTCATTTTCAGGACTTTCGTCCCGGATTCAGCTTTTGGCACATATGCCATGTTGACCGCCATGGTCTTTTTACCCTAAAACAGTTGAGATTACCTGTGCTAAATGAAATGCATACAAACTCATATACAGGTCCTAGACTATTAGCAATTAAATAAGTGGATTAGCGTGACAATATCTGGTCACTCAATAGGCACCGGTCATTGACAAAAACAGAGCCTTTTTCTGCTTTGTGCAGACTTTACAATAATTAGGTAATTCTGGGATCTGAAAGACCCATAGATCCCATGCACTACCAGCAACAAAATTGAGCTAGTTACCAGAATGGAATGAGTTAATTTCATTATTGGTGTAAATGGAGGCTGGGCTACAATTTATATGGACTATATGGAGGCTGGGCTACAAATTAATCTATAATCTACATGGCTTCTCAAAGCCTAATTGCTGTTAATTAGAAGAACAGTAGGAGACTAGGAAAGTCAATGAGTAAGAGTGTTGATTTATATATTAAAGTCATTGTGTAATTTGTGCACTGTTGCATGTAAGATCGAGCACTGCATTGTATACAATGGTTGTACTTCGACATGTGCATGGTTATACTCTAGCTCATAGCTATAATTATAGTGGCTATCAAACGAAAAATATACGTGAGGTTATGAGCGATTTCCAACTCTCATCTATTAAATTTTCCAGATCAGATCTGTATATACAATAAACAGTAAATTAAACAATGATTACATCGTACATACAATACATTTGTTTACAGAACCTAAAACCACGATGTAGCGCGCCATTTGCTTTAATACACTGTATTATTTTGTTTTTAATTTTAAAATAATTTAGAATTTAGAATTCCTACCATTTATATACGATATACTTCATGTAATTTAAACATTACGGCATTACGCCGACAGTTTCCGAATGCGTGACGATACTGTTTCTGAATAATTTATGGCACGTCTGGGATATGATATAGATATCAAAAAGTTTATAAAACATGTTTGTAGCATGAAGAAAACACGAGATTTAAACAGTTTAAATAAAATGCAAGCTAAATGAAGAAATTTTGACATGATACAAAACAAGATAATTTCACTTACAAGGGTGACAACTGACAAGGTAATTTATAGGATTATAGCTTATTCAGTTATACTGTATAAGTACATTGTGTGTTTCTTTTGTGGGTTTTTTGGAAATCAAATATTATATTGCAATTTTAACTCGACATAAATTAATGTCCCTTAAGTAGAGTACATTAACTGTTTACAATATTTGTGGTATATAATGTAGCCATGAATGACCACATGACCCCACAAGATGAACCCCAATGGTTTTAAAATAGAGAATGGATGAAAAGTTCATGAATATTGAGCTTTATATGTGAATCAGGTTAAATACAATAATTAGTTAACCTAGCTTTATATAAAATTACATACATGTTCTAATAATTGTATTTTGCTTCATACAATGCATATGTGTGTGGAAACATTACATTATTATTTAGCTCACTCCCCACATTGGGGCTTTTCAGCGACCGATTACATCAAGAACTATGATTACTTATGTTAGCCTAGACTATTTATCTTTACAACAATGAGAATATGATATTACTTTCCTAACTGTGTTTATATCCTAACCCACCCTGCTAATTTTGCCTTGTGGGAGGAAACCGGATCAAAATATAAAATTCAATTCCTTTGAAAACAACTAAATTGCAATCCCTAAAATTTTAATTTTTTTCTTAAATCGCCTTAAATCGCGTAAAATCGCATTAAATCGCAGTGCTTGAAAGTCCCAGTTTTTCCTTAAATCGCCCAAAATCGCATTATATCGCAGCGATTTAAGGTAATTTACCGCCCCAGAGTAGGCCTACAGTATGTTTTGCCATTTTGTCATTTAATTTAGAAGCTACTCATTGTATGTATATGATTATGAGCCACTACTGGAAGTAATCAACTCATACCTTGTTTGGTATGTTTCCAATAAGGATCACATAAAAAAGGCCATTATTCTCATAATATGGTTTAAATATACGACGGATTACAAAACGTTGCCAGGCCTCTTGATCTACTCGGTCCATAAAATGGCTGCCAGCAAGAATTTGAGCCCACAATACCATGGTGTGATACCAATCCCTTAATGGTTGGCAAAAAGTTTTTTCACCGAAAGTTTCGCGTTTAATTTCATTCTACTGACACTGATTTTTGCTTAAATTTCAAGACTGGCCAGGTACGTTTACATGCTAATCAGTCCATAGAAGGCATATGTTGCAGTCAAATACAATAATCAGTTATATAAAATGAATATTGCATGAATATATGAACGTATGTCACCACAATAAATCTATATTTGTGCCAGAATTTTAGTCCACTAAAGAAGGAAATATATCACAATTTTCAAATACTCTAAAAGCCTCAATCCTCGGTATTATTTGAAAGAATGAACTATGCAATGGCCTACAGTGTTGGTACTATCTTCACTAATAAACTGGATTTGGGCCCTTTACTGTTTAGTTTAATGTATTAATATTCTTACCGTTAAAACATGGATATCTGCGGCTCGAGTCCGTTCTGTCAACTTCTCGACTTTAAATTCTAAGACCATATATTTCCATATCTCTCCTTTCAGAGATTTGACCGGCTTGACGAGTTGTGATGCATGGAAGAAAAGATTCCCTGGTACATTTGGATGCTCCAATGTTCCATAACCCTTTTCGACATTTATTGAAATGACCAGACCTTGCATCGTTTGTCCATGGTAGTCCTCCCAAACCTTTTCTGTTGGCTCAATACGACCTGCCTGATTAAATAATGTTGTATCTATGAAGAGCTCTTCGTCGTCATCATTTTCATCGTCGCTTTCAGTACAAGACTCTTCTTCGCTACTTACTGCTTCCAAAACGCTCTTGGGTACATTATTTTGAGGTGCACGAACGACTGCCCAGGCCATGAGACCAAGTCTGTCGAATGACAAGCAAAATCTTACTGTGTCTCCAGTGGATGGCATAGACGGCTGAACGTTTTGAGGAACAAATCGAACTTCGAAGTGGCCTTTGAATACAATTGTTCCTTGCCAATCCCTTTGTATTTCTTTCACTGTACCTTCCCATTTTATAATATCTTTAGCAAATAAAAATCCTTCAATGACATCACGTCCAGGTTGCTTATCGCGCAGTTTTTTATAGCCATCTTTTTTATTTGTTTCTTTCACTAAATCGTCGTGGTGTAGTAGGCTGTCGATTGAGTTAATGTGATGTTCTTTAGCACAAAGCCATTCGATAGGAAGTACAGAATCCTCTTTTCTCTTGTGTTTCTTCATTCCCTGCTGCCTTCTAATAATCTTCTGTGCATTTTCTCTTTTTTGTGCATCTTTTGGATCCTTCATAGCAATCATGATGTTGATAACATAACTAAATCATGAACAAATATTTTCGGTCGTTATTTTGGTTTTATCGTTATTTTGGTTTATCAGGGTCAGAAGTTATTTTAAAAATAATTATTGCCCCAATGCCACAATAAATATTTAAAAAAAAACTTAGAGAATCACAGTAAACCGTGATGCTTTGCCCGCTAAAATGTTTTGATTGTTTTGTATTCCGCCATTTTATTGGCCACTTTAGTGACGAAATATTGACATCCGAAGCGTATCCTTATCAATCTGCATTATTCTTAGACGACGTCATATTTTTCATAGTTGGAATACGTTAATAGATCATTTATTGAGATTTTGGCGTGTGTTTTTATCTTAACCAATGATTTTAGAAATTTTTGTCATTTTATAAGCTATAGATGGCTAATCATGGCTTCTGTATTTCCCGTTCGTGGAAGAACATCGAAAAGAATATATCGTTGACAATTTCAACGTACGTTCTTTGCACGGAAAGGAAAGAAAGCCTGAGAATACGGGGGCTTTCGCATAGCGATGGGGCGGCTAGGAATCACGATTTCATCAAAACACCAGCAGGTAAATGTAATAAATTTTTTGTTTATAATAAAGCTAATGGATATCATTTTTAGTGTATGACTATTTTCGAAGACAATACTATTTTTAACTCCCCGTATATGTAAACATTTACATAGCACGCGAAGCATTACGGTTGACTGTGATTCTTTAACAGATAGAACTTAACAAAAACATACAAAGAATAACTTATCTTTGTATAGCGTTAGGTTGCTTTCTATTTTTCGCTTTGTATTATCATTTTCCCCCTCGGTAATAGAAGCAGTCAACATCGACAAAAACACGAAGTTAACCTTGACTCCTTGGGTCAGCCATGGTTCTTTTGACAGCGACAAATATAGCGCGACAAAAAAAGATATGAATGACAAAAAAGGTATCAGTGACGATATCGTTTTTACTTCACCCTGTTATCGCCCTGATAAAGGCACCAATATGTGACAATACCATTTATTAAAAATGAAATAAAACTTACTTGTAGAACTCTGCATCTGGTGATATACCGCCCTTTTTCATATCCACCCAATTTTTCACTTGTTTTCTAATTTCTTCCAAATTCGGCACCTTCTTCTGGCGACGAGAGTATCGCAACCAAAACTTCATTTGTTGATCTGTTATTGTCCTACTGGAATCAGGATCGTAGACCTCTTTCACCAAACGTTCAATCTGCACTGGGTTTAATGGTTTAAATTCCATTTCGAGACTATTGTTCAATATAAGAATTTGCAAAGCAACCTGGTGCAGTAAAATTGAATCATCTTTTTCAAAAAAATGTTTCTGTTCTTGAATTTTATCACACAATCGTCTGAGATTTTCAGGTTTGCCGATACATTTACGAAATTCGTCTTTCCATTTTTCTTTGTGGTCAGGATCGATAACACCTTCGTTTAAAAACTGATGCACATCTGGAATTAACGAAAGAAGATAACGTTTGTTTTCCAACAGCTGGTAATTTGAACTTTCCTTCATTTCGTCTATCATTTGGATTAGATAATCAATAAAGCTTGTTTGTTTCTCACCACCCATTTCTTTGATTGCTGCTTGCATAACCGTAATCCGTACCATTGAATCAGATATAAACCCGTGACTAACATACGGTCGCTTACGGCGAACAAATGCAAAACAGTCGCTGCTTTGGATTGCATATTTCACTATCATCAGCATGTCAATTTGTTGTTTGTTTTTAAGAGCTTGTACATGAATTCTGATAATATCGCCATGAATATGTCGCAGAAGTGAATCATCTTTTTGGCTTTTTACAGCTTTTTCAATTTCCGGAATGGCTTTTTCAAAGTTTCCAAGTACAATCATGTAATACTTGGCCAAGTGAGCAAGAAGATGGGCACCAAAGGAAGTGTGCTCAGGAAAAATGTGGACAAGCTCAAGCAATGTATCTCGCGCAATATGTCTACGCTTTTCAATGGTCATTGCTCTAATAAGTGAAGAGAATTTCTCACTTTCGTATTCGCTTGTTACAAATAGCCGTCTTGTAAGTCGGTCAATCGACTTCGTACTTGCGCTAATACTCAGAACGTTTTTTGCCATTTCCACCGATTTTGATTTTATAAACAGCCAATTGTAAGTACCACCATCGTTCTGACTAAGGCCGTCAGATCCCAATTGCTTCAGAATCTCTTGAGCTATTTCAAGGAATGATATTCTGCGAGAATCCATTTCATCTCCTGGTGGACTTAGAAGTTCATTAAGATCTGGATCAAAAAACTCTACTTCCAAGTTAACTTTCTTCTTTTTGAGAAAATCAGCGAGTGCGTTCGCTGGGAGCAAAGAATTTGTAAAAATATGAATAAGTGAAAGATATGCCAGCACTGTTTCTTGCTCTTCGTTAGCTTTTTCCAACCTATATTGTACGTAATCATGCAATCCTAAAAAATCCTCGCCAAACGCGGTTAGTCCAAAATGTACGAATGTCCGCAAATTATCATTAGTCTTGGTTCTTTCTCTCAATCGTCGAAGCCTACTCTCTTTGTCCTTTCTAATATCTATCAAATCTTCTGTTAAATCGTCCATTTCCTTGTCTTCTAACTCTCGTCGAAGAGTCACTTCTTTGTATGGACATGTGCCATATATGGAATGATCACTCGCACTCTTCATACGAGTGTTCTGCGTCGCTTTTCGCTGGGAAGAAGATTCTTTCTTAGAACTTGCTTCTTTTGGTTCAATAAAGAGAAGGATAACATTTACATGTCGGTATTCCACTAATTCCTTTGTGAAGTCGAAAAATTCCTGTGAGTGGGCGATTTCTTCATCAACAAATAGTACGAGCGGGAGTTTTGTTTCTCTGTAAATATCTTTAATATAGCTTAGTAACCGGTCGCCGATGTCAATCAATTGAGCGCATGGATATTCTTCGTGATGTTTAAACAAAAACTGTAAGCACATGGTTGTTGATCCAGCTCCGCGTTCAACCTTGATAGAAATCATTGAGACATGTGACTTTCGGTCATTAAGCAAAATTTTAAAATTGTTTTCTAGTTCTTCCATTTTGGTTCTCTGAATTCCAAAATTCTCTGGTAAACCTGAAAAGGTAATTTTCGAACCGGAATAGAATTTTTTTCGTTCTTCAGCCATCGACTCATGTTTTTTTTGTTGGCGTATGTACATCATTTTCAGATAACCATTGATATTTTGACGTAAATGTTTAGGTAGAATACGTGGACATACCTGAGGTTTCCCGCGGTATTCTCTTTTGTGAGGAACTTGAAACTCGTTTTCTGGTTTGTATGGATCTGGCAGTTTTGAAGATAAGTATCTAGCAAGCACGTGAGGCGGTGCCACATACACACGTTCTTCTATAATAATTTCACCATAACTCTTCTCTAATGGTTTTACTAAATTTTCCGTAATGCATCTCCGAGCTTCTGATGTGCAGCATACAATCGTTACGGCTGTACGTTTACCATTTATGCTCAAAATGTCCTCCAGAATAACGCGCAATGAATCTACAATTTCGTCATGCCCTTCATCCCATAATACAACAATGTTGAGGTAGTTTGGTTTAATGCTACTTGCCAAATCCGTCTTCAGGAGTGATCGCAGTTGGTCACGATGTGTCATATTCCAGCTTCCATGATCTTGTGTAGACATAGACGTTTCTATCTCATCGTAACCCCGAGCTGCAAGCCAAGAAATACCTCTGTCCGGGTTTAAATCGAGCTTGGAATCCTGGGGAGTTCTAATACAATGGTTTCTTTCCATTTGATGCAGGTCATTAAATTCGTTGAAAAGTTGACATAGGTGGCCGTCGTGTTTTGGATACTGATCGAAATCAATTGCCAGGGCCCACTTTGGAATAACGAGACCGTAAACATCGTTTTCTGTCGTGGAAAACATAAATGGAGAAGCAATAAGGATGTAAGCATTTCCACTGTGTTTGAAATTGTCAACATGATTGAGGAATTTCTTTACGTCAAAGTGGATAGCTGTGTCAAATCCCAATTGAAACCTATGCATCATTATTTCGTGACTAAACGCTAACAAATTTCCTTCTCTGTCGAGAACATGAGTATCGATTGGCCGGACCATGTGAATAGGATACTGTGAACGCTTCACGCTGAATTCGATGATACAAAGTTCTTTCAAAAGACGTTCCAAGTCATTTTCAGACATGGATTCCAATGAAATTTTCTTTTTTTTGTTCTCTTTTACAAACTGCTCAACAATTTCTCCTAGGTCATATGAAATATCTTCCGAACTTTTCACAACAATACAGAATAATTGTGGTTGAACTCGTACAACTCGACACAAACAATTAGGAAAATTGTCTTTTGCAAACTTTGGCCATTTATTGCCAACTTCATCTGCAGGTCCGCGAATCATTACGCACATCGAACTGTTATCATTGTACTTTGTAATGTACTCGCTTGGTACTGCAACATCGTGAAATACAAGACTATATTGACTGGTGTTAACTGGAGGGAAAAAATTATTTAACGTTTTCACCGCTGTTTTAACTAGCGCTTCCCTTTCTTCCATCGACATTACTATGCCAACAATATGGCCAATTTTTGATTTTTCGTCTTCTTGCACGCCAAAAAGAATACTTCCTCCTACGGAGTTTAAAAAACCACATGAATAATGAGTAAGATATTTTTCCTTTATAGTTTTTAGGGGGTCATCTCCAAAAATCATCTTAAACTCTTGCTCTTGGTTCTCGTAGCTTAGTTCTTTTTTGTCCTGGTCCAGTGTTTTCAGAACCTGATACCTTTTCTGTAAACCATCATTTTGTTCTTTGAGCTCTTTGTATTGCTTGTTAACATCTATTTCGTCGTCTGAAATTGGTATTACTCTCCGGCTACCCAACGAGTCCAGACGACAAAAAAGTTCGTTAAAATCAGTTATGCGTTTAGTTTCTGCTCCCATGCGTACATACGCATGTACATCAGAGGGTTTGATGACATAAAGTCGAGCATCCCCTTTCGGAACATGAATCCAAACCAATTTTTTCTTAGTTTCCAAAAGTTCCATCACTAATATAAATGATTTATGCTCATAGAGTTCTAACGCTTCTTCTTCAGTTGAACAAATTGCCGCACTTTCATTACGTGAAGGCAAAATATTTCCTATAGCTATGGATAGCTTTTCTCTCCAATTCGCCATTTCATTTTCATCCAAACCCAAACCTGTTATTTCCCCTACGTTGTTTTCACTGTTCCTTTTAACGCCTACAAGTACATTACCATGGAAACTGTTCTTGAAGGCAACTACGTATTTCATGATTTCATTAATATCCGTTGAGTCTAAGAATACCCTATCTACTGATTTTTCAACGAGATCGCCAAGTTTAAAGTTTTGCAGCCATTGAGGTTGCGAGAGTTGTCGTTTAAATGCTGGAGTCTTTCTTTCGACATAAACAATGGAATGCTGATCAGAATCCATCACCACCTTGAATCTTAACATCTCACATCGAGCATTAGTTTTCTCAAGGTCATTTTCTTCTAATACGTCAACACGACCTTTTATGCCTATTTCAGTGCCGGTTCTCATATTCTCAAAAATCATTTTAATAGTATGAGGTCGCAATTTTCTATTTTCTTCATCGCTTCGAATATCAATCTTTAGCACTATAGAACAACTTGCTGCTCCCTGTGGCTCATCTCTAATCAATAATGTTCCAAGATTCTCAATAATTCTGGGCCTATTCTTTAGAACGCCTCTAACTGATATAACGCTTCCGAACATTGGAATGGTAGATTTGCCGTCAGTCCCAAAGTCCTCAAGGGGCGCCAAGTCATCAATTTCCTCAAGATTTCTGACTTTACCAATCATACCATCCCTGTGTTAGGAATAAAATGTTCTCCTTATTAGAAATTTTACAGGAAAAGCCTTTAAAGAATGTTACGTAATTTGAAAAGAGAATCTTCTCATTCTCGACGGCTCAGAAAGGCGCGCAACAACTATACTTCAATATCTGAAATGTGATCTACTCGGCAAGTATTTAATTCCCCCTAGAAATAATCCTCACAACATCATGTTTGATTGCCGTCAAAAAATTACAGAAACAAAAATATCGAACGTTTGGTCCAAAACGTTTCCTTATATTTACCTGATTTTATTTTGAAAAAATCTTCTATATCTCGAAAAGTTATAAAATTTCTCTAATATATGCAATACGAAAATGAATCTTATATTTAAGCGCTTTTATATAGAAAATTCCGTTTTTATGGAGAAAGCAGAAATATTTTTAAAAATTATTTTATTTTTCAGTTTTTACTGCACACGTGTTTGGGCATACTAAATTTGCCTTCAGTCGGCAACTTGTAGAAAGCACGGGGTAGTTTGAATTGTAGAATCGATATCTGGTGTACGTTTTTAGTTCCGCAGGGAACATTCTTCTTATAGTTTTGGGCTAGATAACATGTACTTCCGATTTGCCTGCGTGCTATGGTCGATTATAATCATCTTAAAAAATTTAATCTTTGACATTTTAAAGATTTTACTCTGAAACTTCGTCCACAAACAGTGTTTTATAATGCCATGCCGAGAGTGATTGATGAAAGGAAACTCATGAAATATTTTTAGGGATTATCAAAATTAGAATGCTTGCACAGGAAATATTGTAAATAAACAAAAGTGCATTCAGTGTACATAGGTCATAGTACTTTTGTACGCTAAATGAACCATTCCCCAATTAATCAAAATTTTGATCTCAACAAGTCTAGACAAAATCCTTTTTTTTATTTGAATTGAATTTATTAATAAAATATAGACTTTGCAACCATGAAGGTTGAAATACATCTATCATTTACAGGGTTGGTTGATTAGAAAAATATTGTATATTTACAAAAACATATTTACTATAATATAGGAAGAGTTTAGAACTTCTAGTATGATATTACCATTATTGACAAATAAAAATGCATGTAATTTATAGTTAGTCAATGTTTATTATAAATCGCTACAGACGAGGGAATGTACGAATTTTTGAAGCGATTTGTCCGACAATTAATTGGAACGAGTTTATTCGATATGGGTAGATTGTAGCTTGCGTGTTTGGCTGGTTCAACTAGTTCGGAAAGAGGACTAGTTTGCGGAAGAACCTTTTTCCTCAAAAATTTTGAACATAACAGTTCGCGCCTAGAATACAATGTTGGGATATTGAGATCTGATAAGGACTCTTTGTATGATGACGATGGGTTAATTATTTTCAATGCTCTTGACTGGATCCTTTCTATTTCTTTGGATAGGTATTCAGGTATGTTATAATGCCAAACTTGGGCGCAATACTCCAAGATGGGTCTTACAGATGAAAAATACACTGATATCAATGTTTTAGTGTGACAACGAGCTCGCTTGAAGAGTCTAAGCATGTAAAGGCGTTTTGCGGATTTTTTCACTATGTAAGCCACGTGGTCATTCCACTTTAGGTCGTCCTTGAAAATTAAGCCAAGGAGTTTAGCGGATTTCACCACTTCAATGGGCTGTTCGTTAACGATCATTGGAGGGAAATTTGGATTGTTTTTCCAAAAACAAACGAGAATTTCTTTGCACTTACGGGGGTTTAAGGACATGTTATTTCTTGCACACCACTGCGTAATTCCTTCTAAAATAGTTTGAAAGTTCGAATCTTGGTTTCTAGAAAGGGTTTCTGAAACAGACGAATCGTCAACATATTTCCATCTATCCCCCCAATCAACCAACAAATCGTTTATCATAATCATAAATAGAATCGGACCTAAGACAGTGCCTTGTGGAACCCCACCGCTCACTGGTTCGAAACTTGAGGTGTATTTACCTATCTTCACTCGCTGTTTCCTTTATTATTTTATTATTATAACAGTATTTCAGTAAAAAGCTACACTCACAACAAGGTGATTTTCAGGCAGGTCCTACGATATCAATTAAAATACAAATAAAACTACATTATAATAGCATATATAAAGAAGTATGTTTAAAATTATATCAGCTAAAATCGTATATAGAGTTCTTAAAAGAAGTCAAATTGTTCGATTGTCTTTAGTCTAAATTAATATAGAGTTATTATATAGAGTTCTTAAAAGAAGTCAAATTGTTCGATTGTCTTTGGTCTAAATTAAGGTTATTCCAATCAACGACTGCTTGATATATATAACGTTGTTTTCCCCAGTTAGTACGCGAGCGTGGAAGATGTAAATCCTGACGGCGGCGTGTGTTGTGGGAGTGAATTTCAACGTTTTGAACTAGGTTGAATTGATATTTTATATACTTATTTATACATTTATAAATACCAATACAACGATGTTGGCGTCGACGTTCTGATAGAGGCATCCAGTTTAGCTGTGCGAGGGCTTCGGTACCGGAAAAGTATTTGGGATAATCCAGTATAGTTCTTGCTGCGTTATTTTGCAAAACCTGGAGATTATGCATTAGGACTTTATTGTTCTTGTCCCCCCACACAATATCTGCATAATCAAATAACGGTAAAATGAGACTGTTATATATCGCCAAACGACCATGTAGAGGCAGCAAATACTTAACACGACGCAGAACTCCAAGTCGTTGGCTGACTTTTTTGCTAAGGGCATCAATCTGGTCCGACCAAGACATATTTTGATTATTTCCTGCCAGTAAGAAACTGTTTTAGCCATGCCATAAGAACGGGATCGATGGCCATTTCCTCCATCTTCTTGATAAGAATATGGTGATCAATCTTGTAGAAGGCTTTACCAAAATCCAGAAGCAGCACACGCACATGAGGAAAAAAGGATAGAAGAGCGTGAGTTGTAGATAAGCCGGCGAGTGATCCGAATTGTTTCCTGTCAACGAGGTGTCTGATCTGTCACATAATCCACTCTGCGACAAAATGTTCCAAGGTTTTTGAGATAATTGGTGTTAGAGATATTGGGCGTAGATCATTTTCAATTTCCTTAACCTTATCTGTTTTACGAATAGGTATTACATCTGCTACTTTCCATGAAACGGGTACGACTCTCTCTTGGATTGACGCATTAAAAATTTCAGCAACGGGTGATGAGATTTCCATGGCAAACTCGTTTAAGACCCAACTTGGTAAGTTGTCAGGACCCGAGGCTTTAGTGCGTTTGAGGTTGGAGAGCTTCGTAAAAACATCTTCAGGAGAGATGTGGTATTTTGAAATAATTTCGTTAACTACTGCACGATCAGTTTCAACGTTTTCCAATTGGCTGTTTGGAGGTGGTAGAGAGTTTGTGATACACAGGAAGCTTTCGTTAATTTTTGTTGCTACTTCGGTTGAATGGAATTCTTTGCCCGATACAAAAACACTGGATAATGGTAATTTCTTAGGAAGTCCTCCAAGTTGTTTGACGGATTTCCACCAGGAAGCTACATTGTCACAGTTTTTTACCTTATTTGCCAAAAAGGAACTCCTACGACTGTTATTTAACCTGTTAACTTTATTACTCAATTTTTTGTAAACAGGAGGGTCTTTGGACATTGCTTGTTGTCGTTGCTGGATTAGACTCTTCAGTTCAGGAGTAATCCAAGGCCTGTCTGTTGGGTGTTGCTTGATTTTTCGCAGTGGGAAGAAAATTTCGATAGCAAAATTTTGCAAAGATTGGAAAGCAGCGAGTTTTTCCGTACAGTTTGATAGTGTTTCAAGGAATGACCAATCAGTAGATGCTAACCATCTTCCAAAACAGGACTTCATGCTTGGCTTTACATTCCTTTTAAAAATTGATTCTTTGTGAGTTCTCCTTAAAGGACGAATAAGTAGGGAGTTATGGTCACTTAAGCCGATTTCGGGTAGAATTTGAGGAGTGCTATAATGGTGAAACAGGTTGGTGAAAATTAGGTCGAGGATTGCAGCACCGCGTGTTGGATTTTTAACGGTTTGTCGCAGGTTAAAATGGTTACTAATATATCGGTAATTTAAACGATTAAAATCGCCAACCAACATAATTCCAGCATTAGGATATTTGTTCAAAGCAGCATCCAAAGATGAAATTAGGTGATCCGTAAAAGTAGCATCATCGTCTTGTGGTGGGTGGTATATAATACCGATAATTAGGCAAGAAAAGCCTCGTGGGAGTCGGTTCGGACGGAGGTATACCCAAAGAGATTCAAATGGGGAATCATTAAGTTCGTCAATCGTTGTGAAATCAATTGATGATTTGATGTACGTACAAACACCACCACCACGTTTATCAGCGCTTCGATCTTTCCGTACTAGCGTGTAATCACTAATGTCGACTACTGAGTTGGAAATATTATTGGTCAGCCAAGTTTCTGTAATACAAACTATATCCACGTCGTTTTGGTTAATGACAACTTCCAGATCCTCAATTTTATTAACGAGTGATCTTGTATTAGAAAGGAACAAAGAGGGTAAGGATTCCATCATAGCATGAAAGAGCATCACTTATAGTAATATTCCAAAGTTTGGTTGCGAAATGTTGTAAAATGCAGATAATATAGCCTTGCGAAATTTGCAATTTTCAGTCATTTTAGATTACAAACGGGAAATGGTTGCCATGAACTTTTCCAAAATTTTGATCTTAACTAGCCTAAACAAAAATTTCATTACAGCTTGAAAGAGCATCACAAAATCAGTAATATTCCAAAGTTTCATTGCAAAATGTTATATAATTATAAAATGCGGATAATATAGCCTTGCGAAGTTTGTAATTTTAGTCATTTTGTATTACGCACAGAAGTGGTAACCATTTCCCGTTTATAATCTAAAATGACTGAAAATTACAAACTTCGCAAGGCTATATTATCTGCATTTTACACCATTTTGCAACGAAACTTTGGAATATTACTAATTTTGTGATGCTCTAGACTTGTTGAGTTCAAAATTTTGGTTAATTGGGGATTGGTCCATTGAACGGTGTTATTCGTTGCGATAGCTAAGGGGGATATCACCCTGCACAATTATGACAATTATCATTGCTTAGATAATGACATTTATACTTGCGCCGTCTAAAACTACGAGTTCTTAAATTTTTAAAAGAGGTCAAATACCTGAAATCATTTTGATTTTCGAGACCACCAGTAAAGCTTTCTTTGATACTATTGTCAATAGGTTCGGAAATTGTTGATATTTCGTCCATATTCTGTGACAAATTATTTTGTTCATCTTTGCCACCTGGTATAAAATATAACAAGGATTAACTGTTATATAATAATTCCACGGCGAATCGAGTAAAAGATAGAGGAACAATTACAAGAAATTCTCCATGAAAAGCTAGACTTGAAATTAACGCCAATGAATTCCAAAATTACTAAACTTTTACAGTCATCGTAAACACCAACTCTTAAGCTCGTTGCAAATAGTTTCATCCAATCACGATGCTCGACAGTGTATTTTAATTAGTTGCAAGCACTCACAGTGAGCTTGCGAGTTGGTTTTGCGATGAATGGAAAACAGCCTTAACACTAAACTTGATGAAGCAATGTCGTTTATCGATTTAGCGAATTCGAAGTATGACGGGGTCATCGAAAAATAGGCTGTACAAGGAACTCAACTTTTGGCGGGCGTTGTAACGGTGTAAACATGTTTTTCGATTCTGGGCGTTGACGAATTAAATTAAGTTTCGTCACAAAAACCGTGTTTTTTGTACTAAGGGAGTCCTAATTTGACCGCAGGCATTCTAAAAATACTGTACTGTTCCGTCGCAGGCTTAGGCAGCGTTTTTCAACAACATTGAATTCGTCATACGTTTGTTTGTACGTTGCGTACAGAAGTTCAACAACGACCGCCAAATGTTCACATTACGCCCCTACCAATGACGTGTTTCCAAGGAATGAACGCATACTTTTCAACGATGTAACAACGCGCTTAAAATGCAAACTGCAAGCTCAACAGCAATTGGCTGTATCAGTCTGCGGTAGTCTGATAAAACGTTGTTTTGAAGTCTGCGGCGTTGTCTATAGCATACAACGACACTGAGCAGTATTCCAGAAGCAGTAAATCTTTTCTTGCAGATATATTTTGATGAAAAACAAACGATTTTCTTTGAGAATCAGTTTGGGTTTTGTGCAGGTTATTGTACTGATTTTATGCAGTTCTTACTATGATTGATAAATACAAAAAGCGATTGATAATCCGAACCTTCACAAAACATGTATATGAACCGACAAGAATTCCGAAGAAAACTTTTTTAGTGCTAATTTATGTACTTATAAGAGATGATGGTGTTAAGTCCTGCCCAACATAAAACGCAATAATATTCTCAATATTAAGCTACATACAGGGTGTATCAAAAAAAGCGCAATCCTCGACTGAAATGTAAATTGCTAAACAAATAATAGACGAAAACGTTAAAGTTTACATTCATTTTAAAGCATAGCCATTCAGCTTTCTAACAGTGGGTTGTTTCTTAAATTTGACTCATTGGTTTGCGGGTAATAATACTTTACGTTATTGCGATTGGAGATTAAAAAAATTGAGATGGAATAACAAATCGTTCTCATGAAAATAACTGATTTTTTCATTAAAACAAAAAAATGTTGCATTTTATCAAATGGATTGTAACAATAAGTATAATTACGGCTTTTCTTCAACTATTTTTAACACAGTTTGAAACTTCAAATGCGATATAATTTTGGCTTGGACCATCTAAGCTGACTGACATCAGCTTGCTATAATTTATGTTTACATTACATCGTAATTCGATGACACTCTGGCTCAGACACCAGAATGTTTTGATTCTATGATTTTTAGCATTCGTTTAGGATTTTCAAACAACCTGGTCTCTTTTAAAATACTTTTAATTTGTTCTTACGTGGTTTTCCAAATGTAGTGACGACAACATTAAAGTTTAAAGAAGAAAATTCTAACATTTAAACCGACTAAACAATAACATAGTAAACTTGCATAATTAAACAGCAACTAAAAATGATAGGTTTTACTAAATCTTTTCCTGTGCAATTATTACTAGCATTGGAGACAAGGATAATAGTTTGTTTGAAAGAGAAAAGAACAGGCTTTGAAGTAAGCCTAAAAGCGTTTAACTAGAAATAGTATTTCGAAAGTTATTAAGCACAAAAGATGAATTGCGCTTATTTTGATACACCCTGTATATATATATATATATATATATATATATATATATATATATATATATATATATATATATATATATATATATATATATATACATATATATATATATATATATATATATATTCGTTTTACCTCAAAAAACCACAACAGTCTGCTTCATCCGTATAGGAATCATCAGGTGGTGAATAATTTCGAAATTGTAGGTTGCTTTTATGCTATCGAAAGAATGTGCGGAATGCGTGTAGGCGAAACAATGCTTAGGTGAAACAATGCAGGTTTGGGTCATTAGGTTTTGTTAACGACCTTGTTTACTCGAAACCCGTTTTTGTGACGACATTTGCCGAAAATTTCGCTTCTTTTATTGAGTAAATTGTCTTTGTTTATGTCTTTCAAAATGCAAAATTTTTCTTCCAAACATAAATTGCAGCATTTTGATCCCCCTGTGTACGAAATAGCGTGTTTTAAAATTGACCATTTGATGGTATAATCCTGATTGTTTTCTTTTAATTTCCAAATATGTTTCGAAAGTTCCGTTTTGTTTGAGCCTTTTTTATGACGAAAAGATGAAGTGTGGTTAGCGTAACGTTCCTTAAATGTAGTCGCTGTCATACCAATGTAGTGTTTAGTGTCGTTCGTGTTGTTCGTTGTGACTGTTGCTTTGTAAATAATGTTGCTGGTCATGCATTGTTTCGGTAGTGGGCAAGTGTTTTTGTTGTCGCAGTTACAGTTGTCAGTTTCCGTATTCTGTGATTGACTGTTCCTAATTATATGTGCGTTGTGTTTGGTGATTATAGACTTAACGTTGTTCATGCAACTGTAGCTTACTTTTAAAGTGTTTCTGTTAAAAATCTTGTGTAGTTTGTGCTGTAACGGGAAGTGTTTGTCAATTAAACTTAAGAATTCCCGTCCTATGTTCGTGTTAACACTCTTACTAAATGGTGGGTTGAACCAAATTATGTTGCGTTGCCTATTCCTACGTGTCCGTTGCGGTGCATTCTCAGTGTATGTAAATTCATGATCAAAGTTACTATGTGTAAGAGCGTTCTGGTAAATAGGTGTGGATTCCTTAAATGTTTGTTCGTCCGATGAGAGAAGTGCAATGCGTTTGTTGATAGCTGTAGGTAATTGTCTTGTAATGCTTGGTGGATGGTTTGAGTGTCTGTGGATGTACAATGGATCGTCATTGGGTACGCTCTATCTATATGGTATTGAGCACTGTTTGTGTTTCGTAAACCAAAATCTTAAGCTATATTTGCACCCGGTAATCGGTTGTGCACTCTTGTCTACGTTATTCATTTTATTTCTACTTCAAACATGCGACAATTTCGATTCGATTATTCACTAAAGAATATTCCGATACCATCACAGGATGCTTACTTAAAGAATTTGATTGAAAAAGTGGAAAGCGTAACAAAACGTATGAGATGGAAAGCTAATTTCTTCCTAAAAGGATCAACGACTCAAAACCAAAGCAACCTTTTCGGCCTTTCGTCTAACAAATCGCCTCCTTCAATTCCACTTTTGAAACCTTTCGAAGACGACTTGATAAAACTAATTGAAAACGTAAAATTCCGGCATCCTAAAGACCAATTTCAGACATCTTTGGCTAACGATTTGAAGAAAATTAATTCATCCCCCAACATTTTCATTTTCGCGGACAAAACTAGAAACATTTACGAATCGTCACTGAACACATACAACGAACTCTTACATGACAACATCACGAAAACGTACAAACATGGATCAGAGGACTTCATACATGAAATTGACTCCGAATTGAAAGAAATTTCGAGTAGGTTAGGAATTGGCGACAGAATTGAACGAATGAAAAAACGCGAAGTTAAGCATTTATATCTTTAAAAGATCACAAAGAAAATTTCGAAAACAATCCAAAATGCCGACTAATTAATCCCGCAAAAAGCGAATCCGGAAAACTAAGTAAGGTTATTTTAGATAAAATTAATTCCAATTTGAGACAAAAACTAAATTCAAATCAATGGAGAAATACGCAACAAGTAATTTCATGGTTTGGCAATATAAACGATAAAGACAGGCACAGTTTTATTTCATTTGATATTGTGGATTTTTACCCATCTATTTCCGAAAAACTTTTAAATGAAGCATTGGCCTGGGCTTCGGATTTGACTACTATTACCGAAAACGATATTTCAATAATAAAACATGCAAGAAAATCTCTACTTTTCGGCAACGGCAAATTATGGACAAAAAAAGACGGAAGCAACAGTTTATTTGACGTCACTATGGGTAGTTTCGACGGCGCTGAAATTTGTGAGCTGGTAGGCCTTTTCATTTTAAATCACTTAGGTAAGAGGTTTGGCAAGGAAAACATCGGACTTTATAGAGATGATGGTTTGGCTATTATAAAAAGCAAATCCGCCCGTTTACTAGACAAAACTAGAAAAGAGCTACACAAAATTTTCGAGCAATTTGACCTTAAAATCACCGCCGAAGTAAATATGAACGTTGTAAATTTTTTAGATGTTACTTTCGACCTGATCAACGCAAAACACAAACCATACAGGAAACCCAATGACGATCACTTAAGAGTGAATGTCAGTAAAAATCGAACATATGAGACATTTCGCGGCCACGACTGAAAAATCGATTTTGCTCAAATTTTGCCCAGATATATACCTTATTATATCGGAAAATGCACCATATATTTTTTTAGGTCAAATACTTTTTTAACTTTGAGAAAATGCCGTTTTAACATGACCACCCTAAATCGCCATTTTTTCTGGGAAAATATGCGCTGATTTTACAGATAAATTTCACGACGACAACCGTTTCTAATCGATCTAAAACCCTAAAAATCTTGTTTTCAGTTATTCAAAGGACTGTGTACATGACTTACAGGAAATCTGAGTGACTTTTAGGAATAGAAATAATCGTAGTTTTGGAGCACACTATCTTACTTCATTTACGATACCCTCTTAACAAAATCGATTTTCACCATGCGATAAAGCTCCAAATCGATCATGCTTCTACTAGTTGGCTCTTTAATAAGCAAGCTTTCAATTGACGTGAATACTTCTTTTGGCAAATGAATACGCGATAAACGACAGCGCGTTGAAATCGTCCGTTTTTGACGTCTTGCAAGTCAAACGCTGTTAATTTACATACCGTCGAAGTAAACAATTTAATCAAGTATTTTAAGTATTTTACCTTTTGAGAAGAAGATATATTCTTGAATGGAGACTTTTTGCCTTGCTTAGTTTAAAATTGGTCCAAAAATCCCGAGATATTTGTAAAATATCATCATATACAGGTATTTTGAAATATAATATTGTTGTCAGTTGCATGACAACTTCAGATCATTGTTCAATATTGTCTACTTTTAATAGCGCAAACATACATATCGATGAGCTGTTTAGTGATTTTATATTTGTTACTAAATTTCCCAAAATTAGAACTTCAATTGACAATTGTTGTTTTGTTCCAGTTTGCATTGATCCATATAATGTACCATTTAGTATTTACATATCGACTATCGAGTATAAATGTTTACGAATACATAAGTTAATTATTAAGCAGCTGTTAATAGCGTGCGTGTGAAATGAACATTTATCCATACAAGGATTTGTTATTTTATTATATATTCTACCACCTCAAACTCAAATTATAGGCATATAGCAAATACTGTAGTTTAGAATAATGTGTGTTTACTTTGATGCACAGTTAAAATAATCAGTAAAATTACTTTATTTTGATACACTAATGTCTATTGATCTTATTATATTTCACAAGTACTAGTACCCAAAAATACAGCATTAAGTATTTTGGCCCAGTGCGACATCACAAATTATTATTGTCTCCCCATACGTCGCGTTTAAAGAAAATGAAAGCTTGTTGCTCGTTTAACGCCGGATTAACCACGTGTCAAATACGGCAAATGCCGTGGGCCTCGCGCTTTACTGTGCTACGCCCATTTTTACGAGAACACGGCCATTTTCTATTGGGATACACCCATTTTAGGTGCCTCGCCAATTTAGAGACCTCGCGCATTTAGGGCCCCTAGGTTTGGCAGTTCGCCCTAGCACGGCCCCGGGAAAATATGCAATACTCGTGTTCATATAATCTTTAGTTGCGTTGAGCTGTTATATTATGATCCTGTTTATACCCACCAACTGCGCCAGGCAGGCCATTATCTCGTTTATAATTGATGCAAATAAATTGAAATATTGAAAAAAATTATTTAACACTTTTGTGTGTCTTTAAATTCAATGGTTTTCATAAAAAGAAGAAAGGGGGAGGTTTGGGGGCCTCGCGCTAAAATTTGCCACGGGCCTCGCGCGACGTTAATCCGGCCCTGGTCACTTGTCGGTAGTTCTTGCGGTTTTAATGCCAATTGACAAAGATCAAAAGAGAGCACTGATGACTCCCCCCGTCGGAGAAATACTGGCGCAGCCCAAACCAGCTCAGTGAAATATGGGGCCCCAGGGCCAATTATACCCTTGGGGCCCCGGTGAACCACAATTACCCCCCTCCGTCGACAAACTTTTTATCGCCTTGCAAATTTGTATTTGCCTGTCTTCCTTGAGCTGGGGTCGCGGAGAAAATTGCTCCCTTTGCCGCCTCCCTGCATGGGCGGCCCTGGCGCCGCCCTTGTCTTATCATAACTGGCGCGGCTCGATGAATTAATTGCCGCTTTCAAACAGAGGTTTATTATTTTAAACCTCTAGAACCAGAGTACCTTTTGTCACTCTGAGGCCAGCGAAATAACCTCTTCCGCAACATGCACGTACGCGTCTACTATCGTCAAGAAACAATCAATACGTATAATCGTTGTGGTCTGTGGGATTTTAATTCAATAGTGTAAACCTTGCAGTTTTAGGGAAGCCTCACATATCGATTTTTTCCACAAGAAACGTCATATGTTCGTTTTGGGGGTGGGGGAGGGGGGTTTACAGCTGTGACGTTTCTCTGTAAATATCATGGAAAAGTTCGATAGTTTTTTCGAATACCTTAACATTTCGGAATCAACTTTGCAGAGTATAAAAAAGAAAACAACTTGAACTTGAAAGGAAACGACTATTCAAATATAAGGGCTGGTAAACTAAAAATAAAAACTCCTTATATGGATAAACATTATAAACGTTCATTTCACATGTACACGCACGCTAACAGCTGCTTAATAATTAACTTACGTATTTGTAAACATCAGTCGATAAATAAAATGGTACATTAATATGGACAAAATGGATCAAAACCTCTGAAAAAGCAGTTGTAGTTCCAATTCTTTTGGGGAATTTAGTAGCAAATATAATCCTTAAATAGCTCATCCTGTATATGTTAGCGCTAAAGTCAAACGGCCGGGTCGTAGATCACGTTGAATAATGATCTGAAGTTATCATGCAACCGGCAACAATGTCTCAAAATACTGGATGTTTGATGATTTTTTTACAAATATACTGGGATTTCTGGACCACTTTTAAACTTAGCAAAGCGAAAAGTCCCCATTCAAGAATATGTTTTTTCTCAAAAGGTAAAATACTTAGAATACTTGATTAAATTGTTTACTTCGACGGTGTATAAATTAACAGCGTTTGACTTGCAAGACGTCAAAAACGGAAGATTTCAACGCGCTGTCGTTTATCGCGTATTCATTTGCCAAAAGAAGTATTTACGTCAATTGAAAGCTTGTTTATTAAAGAGCCAACTAGTAGAAGCATGATCGATTTGGAGCTTTATCGCATGGTGAAAATCGATTTTGTTAAGAGGGTATCGTAAATGAAGTAAGATAGTGTGCTCCAAAACTACGATTATTTCTATTCCTAAAAGTAACTCAGATTTCCTGTAAGTCATGTACACAGTCCTTTGAATAACCGAAAACAAGATTTTTAGGGTTTTAGATCGATTAGAAACGGTTGTCGTCGTGAAATTTATCTGTAAAATCAGCGCATATTTTCCCAGAAAAAATGGCGATTTAGGGTGGTCGTGTTAAAACGGCATTTTCTCAAAGTTAAAAAAGCATTTGACCTAAAAAAATATATGGTGCATTTTCCGATATAATAAGGTATATCTGGGCAAAATTTGAGCAAAATCGATTTTTCAGTCGTGGCCGCTTTATGTTTGATTTTTGTGGACATCCTCTCTTAAACCATCCACCAAGCATTACAAGACAATTACCTACAGCTATCAACAAACGCATTGCACTTCTCTCATCGGACGAACAAACATTTAAGGAATCCACACCTACTTACCAGAACGCTCTTACACATAGTAACTTTGATCATGAATTTACGTACACTGAGAATGCACCGCAACGGACACGTAGGAATAGGCAACGCAACATAATTTGGTTGAACCCACCATTTAGTAGGAGTGTTAACACGAACATAGGACGGGAATTCTTAAGTTTAATTGACAAACACTTCCCGCAACAGCACAAACTACACAAAATTTTTAACAGAAACACTTTAAAAGTAAGCTACAGTTGCATGAACAACGTTAAGTCTATAATCACCAAACACAACGCACATATAATTAGGAACAGTCATTCACAGAATACGGAAACTGACAACTGTAACTGCGACAACAAAAACACTTGCCCACTACCGAAACAATGCATGACCAACAACATTATTTACAAAGCAACAGTCACAACGAACAACACGAACGACACTAAACACTACATTGGTATGACAGCGACTACATTTAAGGAACGTTACGCTAACCACACTTCATCTTTTCGTCATAAAAAAGACTCAAACAAAAGGGAACTTTCGAAACATATTTGGAAATTAAAAGAAAACAATCAGGATTATACCATCAAATGGTCAATTTTAAAACACGCTATTTCGTACACAGGGGGATCAAAACGCTGCAATTTATGTTTGGAAGAAAAATTTTGCATTTTGAAAGACATAAACAAAGACAATTTACTCAATAAAAGAAGCGAAATTTTCGGCAAATGTCATCACAAAAACCGGTTTCGAGTAAACAAGGTCGTTAACAAAACCTAATGACCCAAGCATGCATTGTTTCACCTAAGCATTGTTTCGCCTACACGCATTCTGCACATTCTTTCGATAGCATAAAAGCAACCTACAATTTCGAAATTATTCACCACCTGATGATTCCTATACGGATGAAACAGACTGTTGTGGTTTTTTGAGGTAAAACGAAAAACTATATTACGCTCTATCTATATGGTATTGAGCTATCTATATATATAGATATATATAGATATATAGATATATAGATATATATATAGATAGATAGATAGATATAGATAGATAGATAGATAGATAGATAGATATAGAGATATATAGATATATAATTATTTATGAAATAAAGTACAAAACAAACGTTACTCAGAGTTTCATGCCTGAGTTTACAGACGATCTTCGGACAACTAAAGTTCTGTTTGTAATGAACCTTGATTACTTTAATTTGAACTTATTTACATATTTACAACGCTCAAGGATACTTCGACATTTGACCATATAATCGTGTTCGTTCGTTCGACTTTTTTTGATTGATAACAACACTCGTGTTCGTCACATGATTTTCCCAACTAAATTGAACCAATAACAACAGCATGCAACCTAATATAATATTCCGCAAGTATATAATTAACCTAACTCTATAACACTCCCCTGGATTGATTACCAAAGTAATCAATTTGAGTTTGTTTTTGTTTGTTAACAACCTTAAAGAAGTTTACTTTTTACTAATTCCTTTCTTCTCGTTTTGCTAGCTCTTGCTGCTTCTCTGCGCGGTCGTGAGTGTTCATTTTTATTAAGTTCCTTTGTTTCTTGCTCGGGTTCCTTGTCTTCTCCTTCGTCTAGCTGCTTCTCCTTCCATTTCTTCCAATCTTTCGGTAAATTCAAGAGGAATAAGTTGCGCAATTGAACGTAGGAGAACATTTGGTTTGCCTTCACTACACGCTACTCTTACTCTTGCTGCTCGAACTACTCCATCTTGACCTGGTAAAAGATCTTCCACTCTGGCGAATTTCCAGAATTGTTGTTTTGTTTTTTCGTTCATAATAATCATGATATCACCCACGGAAATGGTTGCGATATTCTGTCGGTTTGCATTTACTCTTGACTTTTCACGTAAACTCAATAGGTATTCTCGACGGCAACGGTTTACAAAATGTTCTAGAATTCTTCTGTGGTGCTTCGCTCGGTTGGCTAAACTAAACTTCGCTCGGTTGGCTAAACTAAACAGCAGTTTTGTGTTTTGTGACTTCTGCGATTGCAATTGGATCCGTGCTCTCACAAGCCAAGTCATTTGGCCATTCTTCTTCAGGACGTTGCAGAAATTCAGGCCCTTTCCACCAGGCTTCGTTCGACTTCAGATCTGTTCCTGTAGTCCCTCAAGATGGCAAATCGGCCGGATTCTTTGACCCAGGACAAAATCGCCAGGCGTCTTTAGACGAAGACCTTCTAATCTCTTGCACTCGGTGTTGGACGAATTGTTTCCAGGGTTTATTGTTCTTTATCCAACAAAGAACTGCAGAGGAATCAACCCAATAGAATTTCTCTAGTTTACCTAAAGTAGGCATGAGAGAGGATGAAATGTTTTCAACGAGGCAAGCTAAAATTGTAGCCCCCAAAAATTCTAGGCGAGGTATTGTTTGATGGGAGCAACTCTGCTCTTTGAGGCGACTAGGTTTACATCTACATGTTCATCATCGTACTTCGTTCGTAAATACACAACAGCGGTGTAAGCTTTCTCACTTGCATCTGAAAATCCATGCAATTGATAATCTCTGATATTGGAACACCACTAAGTTGGGTTAATTCATTCACAAGTTCATCGTAAAATACACGCATCTCGCCGCGTAATTCTTCATCCCAATCTGTCTTATC